TGCAGGCCGGGGGAGATGGAGGTCACGACTGGCTGCTGCCGAAGAGCTGCTACAACAAAATCATCGCTTTGTGGAAAATAGCGTGGCACTTGAAAAGTGGTCGAGACGTTAGACATCTTGAAGCAGCAGCAGTAACAGCAGCAACATGACCAGTTTGATCATCTTTCAGTTCACGTCCTGAGGAGGAGTTCAGAGGTCGTTATCTGTGACCTTCAGATATGTAGATGTTAGACATCTTGAAGCAGCAGCAGTAACAGCAGCAACAGCAGCAGCAGCATGGAGTCCATTTAATTTTTCCACAGCTCCAGAACTTTTATTTAGACTAAATGAGCGCCCACCACAGGGCAACACAAACACCCCCACTGCTGCTGCTGCTGCTGCTGCTGCTGCTGTGGGGGTGTTTTCCACTGGTGTTTTCGTCTTTATAGCGTTGTGTCGGGGGGAGAGTGTTTCCTGACCTTTGATTTTCTTTCAGGTGATGAGAGCTGACTGGAGCTTTGGTCAAAGTCCATAGAGAAAACCAACAGTTTAAAGTTGACACTTTAGGATCAATTTAAAAAAGGAACTCCAGTCCTGAAAACGTCTAATAACGAGACAACGAGTCGAAGCTATAAATAAATCACGGCACAGATTTTGAACAGATGAGGCTTTTGTTTCTTGGCAGGAATCTGTTTCCAAGAGTGTGTGAGAGAGTGTGTGGCTGTGTGAGCGTGCCTCAGAAACCACACTTCAGAAATACTCAACCCTCTCATTTATCTCCAGCACAAACATTCATGGAATTCTACATCACCTACGGCCGTGACGTCCGCACGGCTTTTTCTGGCCACCAGGGGCGTGGTTCTACAAACCAACAGAATCAGACGACATTTAAATGTTGTAAATGAAGGATTTCTCAGGTTTTGAATTTTTATGAATTTTTGGACAAATGCATTAGATTTTAAACAGATCTCAACAGGTGTTGGTCATGTGACCTGTTCACATGACAACTGTGCTGTTGAGTCAATAAGACTTAGTGCTGTTTCCATGAGAGCTCCACCTGCAGGCTGTCAACCACGCATGAACAGACGGAGGAGCAGCTGCAGTGAACTGTGGTCCTGGACTTTGGTGGGTCTGGGGGGGGGGGGGGGGGGTGTGGGTGAGGGAGGGTTCAGGACATGGATTAGTCTGAGAAAATGATTGAACTTCAATGAAAAAATACTCTAAAACTCAAGTATATTTTATTACTGCAGAATCCACCCCCACCAGCAGATGGCGCCCTCCACGACTGTTGATTTGGCCTATGTGAAGAACCACTTTTATAAACTTTAATTATAGACGAGGACGTCCAGAAACTGCATTTGAAGTGCCCCCTGCAGGACAGACAGAGGAGCTACAGGCTGTGTTTACAAACACAAACCTAAAGTTTCTACATACTTTACCTTCGACTGTCATTTGGAAATAAATGAAACAAATTTCCCTTCGATGTTCTTCCATAACCCTGAATGACCTGGGGCCTTGACCTCTGACCTGTGGAGGTCTTCTCACTCCACTGCTCTGGTTCTGGACTCAAACTTTTCTGTCTGCTAAACAAAGTCAGGGATGGAAGTGTGTGACGTGGTGATGGAGTCCAGCTGGTGTGTGTGTGTGTGTGTGTGTGTGGACTAGGAGGGAGGCTCAACAGAAGGGATTCCCTGTTTGTGTGTTTTCATTTTGGGACTGAACACACGCTTCCAACTGGCAGAGAGCGTTGACCTCAGAACACCACTGAGCCACCGTACGCATCACTGCAGGAACTACAAACTCATTTGTTCTGTAAGTCCGGGGGTGTTGGGGGTGAGGGAGGGTGGGGGGGGGGGGGCAAGGGAGGGAACAACAGAAACCTGCATATTCACAAAGTTTTATAAATAAACCTCCTACTGTAAACTGGAGGTCTGAGAGGGAGGGGGCGCTGCAAACGCTGCAGTCTATTCTAAGACTGGAAGGAGAGTCTGAGTCACTGAGAGGATGGAGGAGAAAAGGGAGGGTGGAGAAAAGCATGTGTGGTGGGGGAGAGAGGGAGGGAAGGAGGGAGGGAGGGAGAACGAGGGAGTGAGGGAGGAAGAGAGAGAGAGAGAAGTAGAAACAGATTCTTTTTCATCAAGAAAGAGGAACTCATATACGTGCACCAACAGTGTGGCCAGCCTTAGATTGAGCTTCTTTTGTCCAAGTCCAAGTCACAGCAGTGAAGTTTCAGTTCAGTTGGTGACGTGACGTCTGAGTCACAGCCTGAGTTACTGTAGAAAACTTCATGTTGAGAAACCATCACAAAGATCACAAAGATCACAAAGATCACAAAGATCACAAAGATCACAAAGATCACAAAGATCACAAACGCCTGGAGAAAAAGTCGAGTCTGATTCAAAGTCAAGTCGAGGGGAAGTTCAAGTCCAACTGTCCCAGTCCTACTGTCCCAGTCCAACTGTCCCAGTCCAACTGTCCCAGTCCAACTGTCCCAGTCCAACTGTCCCAGTCCAACTGTCCCAGTCCAACTGTCCCTGACAGTAGCCAATAAAAAGCAACACATGGAAATTTTGCAGCCCTGACACAACTGCAGGAATGTTGGGAGGAGGAGGAGGAGGAGAGGAGCAGGAAGGGGAGAGAACAGAGAGAAAACAGTGAAAAGAGGAGTCAATGAGAGGCAGAGGTGGAGGAAACCTTAAGGAATTTCAAAGAGCGGCTCCTCCTGATCCATGCAGGGGGGCAGTTTGACCCTCTCTGATGGAGAGACCTTCCCCAGCTGGATGGAGGGGGAGGAGGGGGGAGGAGGAGAGAGGAGGGGAGAGGCTGGGGCGCACACACCAGCCGCCGCTGCTGGCGGCCCTGCGGCTGCCACAGGTGGCTTCCACTCCTGTGTTTTTTCCAACTCTCCTCTTGTTCCAACTCCTTCAAACCAAATGAACTCTTTGAGCTCAGTCTCTCGTGGACAGAACAGGCGGTGCAGTGGGAACGCTGGGAATCCTGTTCTCCAACAACAGGAAATTTGTAACGTTTCCTCTGCACTTCACGCATGTGCAGTCTGTTCGTTGTATTAACTGTGTGTGTGTGTGTTTTACTGGTGCCACACCTGGAGGGAGGACAGGGAGCTGCTGTGTTTTGCGCGTTTCGAACAGCGCGGCGCGCAAGAAGTACGTCTGCGTCTTTGACGCGTAAAGGCGCACGCGGCAGCGGCGGCAGCGGCAGCAGCGGCAGCAGACTCTGCTGAGGCTCAGCTGGGTTCAGGTTTCCAGTGAAACCAGCAGCTGTAACTGGACACATCTGGCAGGGGTTAAAAAAAAAAAAAATTTTATG